CACAGCAGTTTGGGGAGCGAATCCTGGTCCCTGCATCTGCCTGAGCAGGTACTTTCAAGCTCTGTTCTGAAGGAAAAGATTTTCTCAAAAATACATACTTAGGAGAACTTTTTTAAACATTCAAAAGGAACTTTGAAGTTAAAAAAGTTTGTAAAGTTCCTATTTTTAAAATCATTCTGTTCTTCAGAAAAATACTAGTAATGATAAGGGATTAGAGACTCACATCTAAGAAACTGGTCAGTATGCGACTATATACCACAAATACTTACTTTGTTTATGACCTTTAATGTTAAAATATTATTTAGAAGTTGGATTTTTAAAAAAGATACCCGTGATCCTTCTCCCATGGAGGAGGCAGCTACACCACCCGCCCGGGATAAGTGATCCTGAGTCCCCACGTCCGGCCCAACCAGGGGCCTGGAGATCCGTAGCCATAGGCTTGGCAAGAGCTGTGTCACACCCCGCTTGCCCTGCACCCAGACCCTCGTCACCCATCAAGGTGCTCCACAGCAAGTTGTCACACTGTGTCCAAGCTGACAGGCACTTTAGCTTGGAAGAATTAAGGTCGGCTGGCTGGCACCCACAGGAGGGGTGCCCATGGGCATCTCTGTGGAGTCGGGCAGGTGGAACAAAGCCCTGTGCAGCTTGGGAGAAAAGAGTGTGGATCTGCGGATCCCTAGGAAGGGAGACAGGTTCCCTGAGAACTCAGCCTGGCTGCCAGGCTGCCCATCAGGAAGTTTGAAGTGGGGGAAGCCAGGGTCAGCACTGAGGAGGAGGAGGGGGAAGAAGAGGGAGGAGAGCTTAGGGTGTTTGAGTCTTGAGACCTGCAGCAGCCTCAGGCTCACTGGTTAAAGAAGCTGTAGACCAAGAGGTTGAAAAGAAAAACTAAGGCACCACTGGTGCCCTGTATGGCTAGGAAAATGGAAAGAAAATAAAGGGCAGGAGAAAAGAGATAGCATTTTTAGGTCAGCCATAATAAGCCAGTTGGTAGAGTAAGCATATAAAAAATACACAACTTTATTTTTAGCATGTCATTCTCAGCAATGTTCTTGATTGGACTATAAATTATATGGTGGAGTGGGGCAAAAGAAAAATGAAAATAAAAATAAATTATGTGGTGACCCAATCCAGATGGCAAACTACATTTTTTATGTTTAAGATGATTATAGAGTTCTGTGTTAAAATGTCGGGTGAAATTTCCAAGAAAAGATTTGTATCCTTCTGCACTTACTTAAATGAGAAAAAAGAAAGAAAGAAAAGGAAAAAAATCCACCAGCAGCAACTAAGGGAAAGATGATTAATGCAATAAACTTCAAATTTTATTTTGTCCACAATAGAGAATTATAGCCAATAAAATAGTGGCTACTTACAAGGTTTGAGATTGTATTTACAGGTTATTGAAGCTGTATGTGACACAGAAATAACTGTGCCCAACCAAAAGTGCCATTTTTATACAAGTATTTCAAATATGGAAACATTCATGTAACAGTTCACTAATCAGCCCCAGGGAGGGGGCAGAATTTTTAATGAAATCCAGACATTGAAGAGCTGAGCCGGCTGAGGAGCAAAGAAAGTCGGGCGAAGGATTGGCGATGAGTTAATTGAAATGTGGAATTAATTCTAAACAACTGTCAGGATTACAGGATGTATTTGGAACCTGGGCACTGAAAAGAATAAAAAAACACTGTAAGAAAATAAAATGGGTAACAGGATGCGCCCCACTCAGTAAAGTCCTCAGTCCTTCCATTGCAGCTAGACGTGGCAAAACTGCACGCAGGAGGCCAGGTAGGAGGTCCAGAAGTTTAAGCCTAGTCTAGCTGCGTGCTGGGTTCAAGGCTGCCGGGGCTACATAGAAAGACCCTGTATCTAAAAGAAAATTAGAGTTCAGCTGAGTCTGGTTTTTAATATATGCACAGAGGGATATCTTAAAAGCCTTTCAGGTTTGTGGGAAGAAATCCTGGGCCCATAAATCTGAATTGTAATCAGTTTTTACCCATTGTTCTATGGGAAAACAGAAAAAAACAGAGTAGTTATTTTACTTAAAGCAACCAGTAGTTTGAAACTAAATTTTTTTCAATTTAAAAATAAATTTTTAAAGGACTGTGAGGATGAAAAAAAAAGGGGGGGTTACTTGTTTATTTTGATCTGTTTCTATTCTAGGCTCTTCTTTCCTTTTCCACAAAAAACTGTTTGCAGGCTATCCAAAGCAATTAATAATTTAAGGGATTTTTCCATGTGTGGGCTCTTAGAGGTCAAGCGCTCGCCGCTTTAGGAGCTTCGGCATCAGAACCTGGAAGCGGGGCCAGCAGTCAGGGTTTCTGAGAAGCTTCCATTGCTTCTCCTCATATGCACGGGTTCCTAGTTCCGTGCGACCCTGATGTGGCTGGTCTGGGGCCCACACCTTGAGAACCACTGCTGCAGGACAGGACCACACACACAGCACACCAGAGGTGGTTGCCCTGCCTGGGACACCAGGGACCTCACAGAAGAGGAAAGGAGACACTGGGTTCTGTGGAGTTCTTCAAAGAGCTCTGTCCCCACTGTGTTTCCATCTGACTGTCGTCTCTTCGGGGTGTCATAGATGACATTGTGCATCATAACCATAAAGTAACTTGCAGTCGCTCAGTGCTCACTGGGTGCCACGCAGGCGCCGCTCTCCTTGTTTCCCCTGTGGTATTTCATCTATTGACTTCAGAAGTGGGTGCTCCTGTTCCATGGCACAGAGAGCTGGAGCCTCCTAGATCCTACAGCTGGTACCCAAGCCACAGGAGGACAGCCAGGCACTACAGCCTGTGTGCCCCACACCACATCACTGAAAGATTATTCTGTAGTCACTTGGAAAATGGCACTGCTTTGCTTGGGATTTTAAAAACAGCCTTTTATACCTATGTGAATTTTATTCCTTCAACTTCTAAAATTAGGGCCAGCCAAATAGCTCAGTGGGTTAAAGCACCTGCAAGCAGGTGCAGGGGCCTGAGGTTCGATCCCTGGGACCTGCCATGCCAGCCCTGCCCCTCCAGGGCGCACTGAGACAGCAACTGAGACTGGGCGTGGTGGCGCACACCTGTAATCCCAGCGCTTGGGAGTCTGTAAACAGGAGAATCACTATGAATCTGATCTAGTTAGACCCTGAACACCCTGTAGACCCTTCCCTAAAATACAGACAGACAGAGAATTAACTTCTAGAATTATAAAACAGTATTAAAAATTGTAGAATTGCAGGTCAAAATAGATAATAGACCAAAGAAAAACAGTGTTTTCGCATCTACACAAATGGGCAGCTAATTCATGAGTAGGGCTTTGGTGGAGGCAGGGGAGTTATAAAACAAAAGAAAGATTTGGGGTTATACAGAAGTCAAATAAATGACTATGTGGTCCCTAAAAAAAAAAAAAACAAACAAACACTGGATAACTGTAATTCCATCATCATCATTCAGCACCCTAAGAGCAAGGGCAGGAAGTTGACACCTAACTTGGGAGGGCTGTAGCACCCAGGTGGAGCACTGCCTCGTGACTGGCATGCGTGCGGCCCTGAGTTCAGTCCCCAGCACTGCAGAACAAACAAATAAGCGGATGATAGATAACAAAGAATCCCTGCCTAAGTTTAAAAGAACATTCTCCTGTTGCTTTTTTCCTAACAAGGTGCTCTTCTGCTAATGTCATACATGGATTAAAACTAGGAACAGTTCATCCCCGAGCCTGCCATAGTGGCAGTTGAGACTTGGGCATGGTGGCGCACGCCTGGAATCCCAGCACTTGGGAGTCTGTAAACAGGAGGATCACTATGAATTCGGTCTACACATTGAGACCCTCTACACCCTGTAGATGCTGTCCTAAAATACAAATAAATAAACTAGGAGCAGAGTGGCAGGTGGCCGCTGGATTCACCCAACTAACACGATTTTTTTTTTGTTTCTAAATTTCTTGCCAACACATTTTATATGGTATTTATAAAAATTTTTCAAACTTTATTGCATTTCATGGGATTAGATACTAAGAAAACTGAGCTAGGCATGGCGGCTCATGCCTGTAGCCACAGCACGCAGGAGACAGACGCAGGACAGTTCCAAGCTGGAAGCCAGGCTGGGATACATAGTGAGATCCTGTTTCAAGAAAGCGGAGACCTTGAGCTTGTAAATATCTACCTGAATGTGGAGTATGGGTTGGAAGTAAAAAGCGAAATAGAAAGCGCATTCAAAATGTGGGTGTGTTACTGCCCTATGCGAATTTCTGAGGAGAAAATGTTAAGAAAATTTAGACTCAACAGTCATGTCTATATTTAACTGTGTGTAGTGATATTTATTGTGTTGATTATTGACTGTGTAGTTTTAGGATTTATATGTTCTTCACCTTTTGAGTTCCCTTTTTTTTATATAAATTTTTTTTAAATTAATTTATTTATTTTTTGGTGTATGTGGCCAGCTCAGCCCACCAGGGGGCAGGGCTGGCTGGCATGTGGTGCTGGGGGATTGTACCGCGGTCCCTGTGCTTTGCTAAGCTTGTTCTAAGTAGGTGCTTTAGACCACTGAGCCATCTCACCAGCCCTGAGTTCTCTTTTAATATACAAAGATAGCTTTGGATTTTCTCCCTTAAAAGGACATAGATCGAGCATGCAAAACTTCCTATACAGTGATGGGAGAATTTCAGAATATAATTTTGCAAAAAGGTTTTTTAGGCAGTTGATTTATTCCTGGATCTGATAACTCTATGCATATAATATGTTTAGAGAATTGGGTTTTCTGATGAATTAAAATTTTTGTTAACTTACGTCATATTTTACCATACATGAAAAAACATTTTTCAAAGGACAGAATAGAATTATTTTGCCATTTATCTTTAGTGATTCTCAGAGCATTTGAGATCTTATAATTTCATAGTAATAGTACAAGCAACCCTAAATTTCATTTAATATGTAAAGATATTTCCATATACTTCGAATTTCTCTTTAAGTTGCAAATATTTGACTCTACTGTAATAGGATTCTGATTTCTGTATTTTAGAATTGCCACTGCCTTCAGAAAGTGTTGATATTATTATTTCTGACATTCCATTTGGGAAAAAGTTTAAACTAGAAAAAGACATCAAAACCATTGTACAAGAAATGGCAAGGTAAGTTGTTGAATATTTTCAATAATTTTTTTTAACTACTGAGCATTTATCCAAAATCTGTTCTAGCTTTTCAGGTCTGATTGCATTGTAGTACTTTGCTAGGTTATTCCTAAATTTAATTTTCTGAGATTTTAAGCACAAAGTTCATAGTGAAATAAGTGTTGCCCTGTGTCATCTTTATAAATTTCATACAGAAAAAATTATTTCAGTCACAGGGCCAGGTAGCTTACACATCTGCTGCTGAGCCTCCCCAAAACTTAGCCACCTTTACAGATAATAAACTGAGGAAAAACTAACTTCCTCGTGTTACACAGCTGTTAGCCCCAAAATGTAATTCTGCTGCTTGTGGCGCGTCCAGCAACACAGAACGGCCGAGACTGTCGCTGGCTGTGACACAGAAATGCAGATTATTGTTTGTCTCTAGGTTTCTGATGTTGACCGAAGAGAATATACTGATGGAAGTAGATCTTGCAGCGGTTCAGTCAGTGAAGCCTGCATGTAGATTTTTCTCATCACTTGAGATAATAGAGGAGTGAGCCTACAATTCATACATGAAGGAATGGATGGGGAAAAGAGATCAATTCTTGTTGTCTCAGTAGGGCGTTTGATAAAATCAGATAATACAAATCTTGTGAACCTCCTCTGTAAATAATGGACCACCAGCTGTTTTTAAATGAGCATACGCATTGGGTAGAGGTGACTTACTGTGAAGGATCACATTCTGTCAGGAAAATTAACACATAGTGAGAAATCTGAGCCCTACTAAGGGCCGTCCCAGTGCTTCTTGTGAGAGGAGTGCTTCATGTTCATTCTGAATTGCTGTGAAAGCCATTCTCCCTGTTGCCTAACTTTTTAATACCTGGACTTCCTACCTCTGGGCATCGCCTGTAATTCAGACCTCACACACCCCCTCCGCTCAATATTACCCTCCCCTTGAGAAGATTTTATAAGTTCAACTTCATGTTAAAGTCATTACAAAGGGGCCTGGCCTTAGCTCATTTGTTTCAGTGGCTGCTTCCACAAAGCTGTCAGCCTCAGGTTGCTGTAGTTCGATCCCCACAACTCTCCAGCCAGCCAAACCAGCCATGAGGGCATTCGGAGCAAAAAAAAAAAAAAAAAAAAAACCTTATTAAAGTCATTACAGGATGATTTCACCAGATACTGATGCAATTCCTCCGTCTCTCCTCATTAAGACTATATTCATTGCTATGGTGGGGAGGTCGGATCAATATTTCTTAAAATCTCCCAGTGTGACTCTGCCGTACCACCAGACTTAATAAACACAGCCTTTGAGCTTAGCTAGATAATTCGCCATCTGTGTCATTAACCAGTTCACAGTGAGGTACCGATATGTAGGAGCATTGATGTGCATTTAACTTGGAACTTTCCAGAGAAAACAATGCCCCAACCTAACTTAAAATCTAGTGCTGCCTATGTTTGACCTTGCCATGAGTCGCAGGGACATGGATAAGCCTTCGCTAGTAAATTATACCAGCCTGCCTCTCTAAGCTGGTTTTGTTTTTTATTCCAGGTAATTAAAAGTGAGACGATGATAGATTTGTGTGCCCTCACCTGGAAATAAATGTAAATACCTGAGAATTAGGAAGAGAGTCAAGAATTCCAGTGGTTAGAGTAACTCTGTAGGACCAGTTCCAGGTGAATGTATTTGAACATGAGACTTCCTTTTCCTATGGCCTGTCTTCTTCATCACTGCCTCCAACCCTTATGACCTAACTTTTCACCCTTTGTAGTTTGGAGTTTTATGTCAGCAATAGCGTATATTATAGTGGCGAGAGAACAGACTTCGGAGCCAGGCTACCTGGGTTGCTGTCTTGGCTCTATCACTAATAGTTCTTCATTCATAGCCAGTCTGCCTAACCACTTTGTGCCTAATCTTTAAATATAATAGCCACCTCATAGCATTTTTCAGAAGGTTCAGTAGATTTAAAGTTCTTAGAACAGTGCTGGGCCCCTAGAAAATACGCAGTATGTTAGCATTTACCTGAGTTTTTAGTGTAAACCACTTCAAATGCTTCTGAGAACTAGCTGAGGATACATATAAGTATATAAGTAAATATAACTTTTCCTCCAGTGGTTTACTGATAGTTTAAGGCTCTAGCTAGAAGTTGAAAGAGTTGGGAAATTGTGTCAGTAAAAATAAGAAAAAATACAAGTTTCATGAACCTGTTCATAATAGGCAGTGGAAATACTTGGTTCTGTGGATTTTTCAAGACCATAGAATCATAATTAAAGATGTCAGACAAGTAATCACCGTGAGGTTCCTTTCTCTGGCATAAAAGAGAAGCGGGAGAGAAGTAAAAAAATCCTCTAGTGCTGGGGCATAGAAAGGTGGGGAAGAGACTGCAAGCACCATCGGAGGGCGAGGCAGAGAGACAAAGAATTTATCCGGGCTGGGGTGGACTGTGTAGGTAGTTTTGGTGTCATAATAGGCGATAATTTGGGAAGGCCTGGTGGTGTGCAGGGAAAAATAAAAGAGGACTTTGGGGATCACCAGGGGGAAGGAGACGCAAGTCTGCCTGGAGACTGTGGTCCTTGGGCTTGGATCTCCACCCCGCCATGCTGACTCGCCACCATGGGGACCCAGTGGAGCTTTGAGACCCACCCTTCCTGTCTTGGAAAAGGGGCGACTACGACTGTCTCTGGCTACTTCTTGCTGACAGGAGCATTGTGGTAGGGGCTGGGGTGGCTGTGAGATGCAGATGGAGATGCAGTCAGGCCCACGAAGGAGCTGGTGCCAGGGGGCTTGGGCAGGACTAGAAACTATGGTGAAGGCTCACACCCTGGATTGGAGAAGACTCAGGAGGAGTCTGTGATGGCAAGGTGCAGTGACCCCCAAGAGAATGAGCGTGGCAAGAGGACCTAGAATGCGAAGGATGATAGGTGCCCGCTGTGCCCAGGTGGCCACCAAAGGGACTAGGAAGAAGCGACACCCCCTTTTGCTTACATGCAACGAAGTCTCACATTTTCGTACCAGATCCATAACAGTCACCTTGGTGGCTGAGCTGTGTACTCTCAGCTCACTTATTTCCTCTGCTGACTTAGCTAAAGATGAGCCATTCATGGGTAGAGAGCATCATGAGGAGTTGAGGGAAGCACATCTGAGCCGCCCTCAGAGGTAACCACGTAAAGCAGCTGAGCAGAATCAGGAACTCACCTTGCTCAACTTGAAGGCAGGGGAATGCGCTGCCTGCCATAGAGGCCTGGGTACCATCCCAGAGGAGAGGCACAGTTTCAATGCAGATGGGAGAGAATTTTTTTTCTTTTTTGTGTCTGTATTTTTAGGGAAGGTTCTACAGTGTTCAGAGTCTCACTACTAGATCGGACTCATAGTGATCTGCCTGTTTACAGCCTCCCAAGAGCTGGGATTTCAGACGCTCACCACCACGCCCGGTCTCAATTGCTGTCTCAGCGTGCCCCAGGAGCGGGGCCAGCATGGCAGGCCCGGGGATCGAACCCCCAGCTCCTGCAGAGAATTTTAAAGGGGGGCCACTCCGGCTTTCTCCATACAGCTGCTCACTCAATAGTTCTCCAGTGAGGAGAGGACCCAAGGGTGTGTTCCGGGTGCAGGGAGCACGGCAGCCGCCTGGAGCAGAGCATCTGCAGATGTTAGGGTGGCCAAGGCCATGCGCTCCTCGGTCAAATGATGGAGGGTGATTTCTGTCATCTACCCTCATCTGGTCCAGCAGGTTCCTATGCAAAAGAGACATCTCTTTTATATTGTCTGATGCAGTTTATTCAACAAATTGGCTACAGCTTTTTTTCAAGAAGTAATATTATTGTGTAATGCCCATACACGAGGGCTATGAGAAAGACAGTTTGGAAAATAATTGCTTTATAATTTCTGAATAGCTTTCTTAGTAAGAAATTATGTGTATCTGTACATGAAATTATTCTGGAAGGATATTGATCAAAAATGTTTATTTTAGAAATGCAGAACTTAAAATGATTTTTACTGCAGTATTTTCTCCATTATTTGAAAAAAATTTTGAGTACATCAGTCCTGAGTCACATGAATGGATACATATTTTCAATTGTACATTAATAGAATCATCTTTAATTTACTATGCTATCACCTGCTTTTTTTTTCACTCAATGAATCTCCTTTTCAATTAGTTTTCCTGCACATTATAATTTCCAGTGATTGCTGTAGTAGTGTGTGTGTCCTGCCACGTGAACTGTACATGTAGATGAACGTGTTAAGTGATTCACAGCTTTTTATTGTACTGAAGAATAATGTGACGAAAGGAGAACAAGACCCTGAACACATTTGCACGATTTTCACCCTCATCATATGACCATGCTGCTTAAAACCGCAGTGGCGCAGTTTTTCATCTTCGAAAGGCCGAGGCCAAGAGAGCGCCCTTGGAAGAACAGTCTGGGGCTTGACAAATAATGTGAAGCACCACAGCAGTGCCTGGCACGTAGCAAGAGCTTAGCGACTGCTGGCTACCGCTGTTCTTCTAGATAGTGTCTTAGAAGTGAGATTTCTAGGTCAAAGTTTGCAAATACTTTTTTTTTTTTTTAACTTTTTTTTGGTGGAACCCAGGATTGAACTCAGGCCCTTGCACTTGCCAGGCAAACGCTTACTCTACTGAGCTATTTCCCTGGCACTTTTTTTGTTTTTGAAACGTTCTTGCTAAATTACTGTTACAAAAATGTTATGTCAAGCTGGGGAGATAGCTCAGCGATCTAAGTGCCTGCTTGGCAAGTTCAAGGACCTGGGTTCGATTCCTGGTACCACATGCCATGCAGACTTCAAAACTGGGCGTGATGTTGCATGGCTATAATCCCAGCACTAGGAAGGCTGAAACAGGAGGATCACTGTGAGTCTGAGCTTTGTAGCGAGGCCCTGTGCCAAATAAATGAATAAAATTAAAAATAATGTTAAGCTGATCTCTACCTTCGAGAGTGCTCATTTTTTCATAATCTTACCTTCCCAAGTAACACAGCCTTTTTTATCTGTTTTACTGTAAGGATAGAGGTTATATCTCATTTTTTATAGTAAATATGTTTCCTTTTATGTGCTTAGAGATGTGATATGTTTCATGGTGTCCACGCCATAGAAACATCTGTCCTCAGTGAACACCCGCATCTCAGGGAGGAGGCTTCTCTCCTCTTGCCGGGTGTCTCCCATTCTTCTCCTCTGGGGTTGCTCTCGGCCCCCCTCTCCTTCTCACCCTCAGCCTTCCTGAGAGACTCAGTCTTCCTTTTCCTCTGTGCTCTGCGTTAGGCCCTGCAGATGCAGGAGCAAACAGGGCTGGCAGGGCATCTGTGTAGGAAGTCAGGTCACTGAGGAGTGGACCCACAGGCTCATTGCAGGTCGCGACTGGCACAGTGCAGGGCATGACGGAGGATGTGTTGTCAGGGACTGAGAGAGAAGCAGTGGCTGCCTCAGGTAGGCAGTCAGGACAGGCCCTCCGTGGATGTGGTGCTTGGACTCTGGAACCCAAATGATACGAAAGTGCACGAGGGAATCCATGTTGAAGGCAGAGTGAACGCAAGGCAAACTGTCCCAAGACCAGTTTGCGCACCTAAAGGAAGGTCTAGGGCAGAGGGCAGCAGGCACATGATCAGGTGCCAGGTAGGCGAGGGCAGAGGATGGAGGAGTCCTGAGTGCTGGGGAAGGAGTGTAGAGCTTATCTGAAATCCACTGAAGCGGCTGCAGAGGCGGCAGTTTCCCATCCATTTTCTATGGAAGCTGGGAATAGAGAGTGCAGAGCGCTCCGGGCAAGGGAGCAAGGCCTGCCTGTCAGGGGAGGGTGCTGCACTCAGCAAAATACTGGTGGAGGAGCTGAATACGCAACACAGTCTGGAGACAGAATTGTCTGGGTCACTAATGGACTAGATGGGCAAAAGCTCCTAAAGCTTTCATTTAACTCTTGGTCCTCTAATGGTCACCCTGTTTCCTTATCTGTACAACAGAATTTATGTCATGAAATTTAAGGCCCTGAACTTGGAAACATTAATAGGCCTGTAATTATCTAATTCTCGTTTTCATCTCTCAACACTAATGTATGTTTCGTCACTTCTCCTCCATGGCTCAGTGAAGGCTCAGCACCCGCCAGGCTATGGGAGCGTCCTCTGATCTCCACACAAGGGTTCCCCGGCTTCGGCCCAGGGGCTGAGGAAATGATTCCCACAGAACTGGCATCGCAGGGTCTGCCGGGTTTGCCTGGTCTTGTTCCCCATCCTTTGTTGCAGCCTGGCTCTCTCCTAACTGACTTTCCTCCACCATCAGCCTCTCGTCTGCCTGAACACGCTGATTCTTCAGGCTTCCGTCACTTGCCTTCTGTCTGGAGTCACTTATTAGAATGTGACTCAAGTTATTTTGAGGCTTGCCTTTTAAGTAGAGTAAAAATAGATAATTAAAGCAGATTTGTAGTAGAGATTCCATAATTACTATAATGAATATGCATTATGGAAGACACTACCTAATTATTAAAAATCCTTGTATTTAAATAGATAAAATTAAATTTCCAATTGAAAACAACTATTTTAAGTAAAGCAAGATTGTTTGTTGTCTAAAAAGAAAGAAAGATTCATCTCAATTAATCATCTTTGTCCCAGGGTGCTGCGTGTTGGTGGAACCGCTGTGTTATTGCTGAGCGAAGATCATCACAGGCTCCTTACCGGTCATGGAGGGAGCCCCGTGCCTTCAGATTCTAAAGGCAGCCACACCGATGACCCTGGAGTTAAGAAGCATGCAAGTCCCGATGGCAGAACTGGCACGTCAGAGGAAACGCCGTCCTCGTGTCACGCTGGCAGCCAGGGGCCTTCAGACAGCATGTTGCCGTTTGGCTCTTTGGTGCCAGCAGAGTGCTGCGAAGTTAGCCTTGGAAAAACAAACGCGTTCATTTGTAAATACAGGAAATCATCACCTTCTGGACTGTAGTGGCCCTGCTGCCCTACGTCGGGTGCGAGTCCTCGGAAGCCAGCTTTGCAGGAACCCTTTGGTCTGCAGGATTAACTATGGCACCAGAGCCGGAAGGCGTCACTCTCCTCGAGACAAGACCTGGCTGACCGCCGCGCCTGCTGTTCAGTACTGTACACACAAAGTGCGCAGTGCTCGCCAGAACGGTTGGGGAGTGCTCTGAAAGGACCCTGAAGCGCTGTCAGGTCGCACACAGAGCCGCCCCATCATGCACTGGATCTAAGCAGAAGCTCCAGCCTCCAAGCAAGCGTGTCCAGGGTTTGCGGGAAGGTGTGATAGGTGTTTTACCTGTCATACTTTTAGAAATGTGGAAACTTTTATCCATAACTTCTTCTGATACTAAACTTGATTTTATCAACCTGTAATTTTTTTCTCCATTAAAATGAAAATAATTTTTATCTGCAAGACATTTTATATGGCATGTTATATAAAACATCAGTAAGAATAATAACAATATGAGGAAATCCAATAACCTTCAGCGTGGTGGAAAGTAAAATTGGTACTCTTCCTTCCAAACAGCATTAATTGTCCCATACCCTCATTTGAAGAAAGTCAATGTTTCCTGTGTTCACTACAAAAAAAACCCACAAAGTTGGTTAAAACTTGTGTTTTTATTTAGTTTTTTTCAATACCCTGATCCATTGGCTCAAGTTTTTGGCTGGTTTAGTACCATTTGAGCAATCTTTCTGCATCTGGGAAATCTGTCCTGTGAACCTCACTCTCCAAAGCAGAAGCCCCTTTGCTGCCTGACCAGAGCCTGGTCTTCCTTCCACCCCTCATGTCGAGGTGCGCTCGCCTGTGTGAGTTTTGGCCTCTGTGCATGGCAGTGACAGCAGCAGAGTGGCCGCAGATGTTCCTGTGCTAGGGTTAGCACTGCTCCCAGCCAGGTCACCTCTAAACATCAGTCTCGTGCTTTCCTAGAGAACGCTCAGAGCCACCTATAAATCTTGAATACATTGCATTCTTGCTGAAACTACCAAGGTTTGTTAACAGCTAGGATTTTAATATGAAGATAGATATCCCGAGGGGCTTCAAGTAGCAAACCCCCAGAAGTGTGAATTTGTTATCATACCTTTTTGAGTTAAAGACAGGTTACAGCTAGTATTAGTAGAGAGCTGAAGACGTGATGGTGGTGAAACACTGCATTATCCCTGTGCTCTCCCAGTGCTGTAGGAAGTAGCCAGAACCTAAGGAATACACGCCTTGTGAGTATAGTACTGCCTCTAGCAACAGAACGTGCCAGGTCAGAGAAAAAGCAGGATTCCTCAGTCCTTCTTCTTTGAGTTAATGCAATGGGTTCATCCAAGAGCTATTTTCACACACACACACATAGTAATGCCTACAGACATTTTTGGCTGCTATAACTTGGAAAGAGATAGAATTGAAGTCTAGTGAATGAAGACAAAGAATGTCATTTAACATTCCGCAGTGCACAGGACAGACCCTGACAACACAGAATTAATTGGTCCAGATTCAGCAATGCCCCAGTTAAGAAACATTGGCTTACAGCATAGTAGGAGACTCCAAGAATTTCTTATGACTGCCAAGAAACTGGGTGCCATCTGACTGAGAGAATTGAACAGTCCAGAGTCTGGTCCTGTGAATGCTGAATTTCTTTGTATCAGTTGAGTTCAAAGCCCCTAGCTAGGTCTCCTAGGTGAAAATTAGTGTTGAATAAAGAAAATGGGGACTTTGGGAATTAGAATGGGGACACGGGACTTAAATACCTCAAGCCCCACGCTGCACCAGCAGAAGCAGCTGTACCTCTGACTGAGGAAGCTCTTCTAGAAGATCCAGACAGTGAGCGAGGAAACCAGTGTCTTCAATATTGCTTCATGGCTCCTTCTAGGACTGTAATGAAAGTCATCCTAGCAGATGTAGGGCTGGGGAAGGAAAGATCTAGCACATTGGAATTCCAAACACTGCTAATTGCTAAGCCAATATCCTAACAAATATGAGCAGCTATATTATGTCACAGCAGGGGAAAGATGGATATGATGGCTTAGGTCAATTTGAGTTTGTTGATAAAAGTAGATTTACCAAAGATACTAGAACAAGTGTGCTCAAAGGAGCCAATAGGATGATTTCTAACAATTTAACCAGTCAGTCTACAGTACCTTCAAGCTGAATGTTAGAACTCTATAGATTTACAGAGGAAGAAATCTAAAAGACTTACAAAGGTAGGCATATTGGAATGGATCTATGGTACCCATCCTCTACCTGGGATCCCCAAAAGACCAAAGGACCTGCCCTTCACCCCAGCATTGAGAAACACACAGAGGGCCAGGGAGAATGCTCCTCAGCTGAGGAGGTGGAAAGGATAGTACAATGGCAGTGGGCCTCCTGGTCTCAGTGGGGAAGATGGGATCAGACAGACAGAGAAGCCAAGAATCAGCATGGAAAGGCCTGAGACCATATGAAGATAATTGGGTAGCTAGGCCATAGTGGTATCTGGAAGGTCTATCTAGTATACGCTGAAAGGATCATTGTAACTCCTTCATTGCAAACTGATTATAAGGAGGAGAAGGTGAAAATAGAGAAACTAGAAGGTTTTTGCTTTGTTTTGTTTTCTGTATTTTAGGAAAGAGTCTAGAGGGTGTTCAGGGTCTCACTACTAGATCAGACTCATAGTGATTCTCCTGTTTACAGCCTCCCAAGTGCTGGTATTACAGGTGCGCGCCACCACGCCCAGTCTCAATTGCCATCTCAGCACGTCCTGGGATCAGGGCCAGCACGGGCCTAGGGATCAAACCCCTGCCCCTGCACCTGCTTGCAGGTGCTTTAATCTGCTGAGCTATTTGGCTGGCCCTCGTTTTGTGGGGGGTTTTTTGTTTTGTTTTATTTTGTTTTTTTGTTTTTGCAGTAATCTCAGGCAAGAGAAAATGAGAAGTTGCACCAGGATGGCAGGAGCAGATACAGAAGCAGGTGCACAGGTTCTGGATATACTTTGAAGATAGAACCAGCAGTGCCTGCTGATGTGTTGGATGTGTGGTGCAATATGGTGGGAAGCAAATGACTTGCAAAGCTCTTGGCCAAGCAGCTAGAGCAACAGATGGGGGGCAGGGGGCTAAGAAGTTCAATTTTAGACTTGATGGTCTAGACAGTCTAATTTCAACTTGTCTAGTTGAGACAGTCTAAACTAGCAAATCTAGTTTACACTTGCATTCCAGACAGCTTTAGGCTTGCTAATTTTGAAACATGCATTAAACAAAGTGATGATCTCAAGTAGGCAAACGAATATGTGCATCTTCATTTTAAGAACAAAAGGTCTGTTCTGGAGATATATAGGAATTGGCAGCATTTAGCCTGCATGAAACTCACTGATGTCACCGAAGACTAATGGGGGCGGAGGGAGCAGCAGGATCAGGGCTGAGCTCTGGATTCCTCTAGCACCAAGAGTTTGAAAGAAGCAAAGGAACTGTTTGCAGAAGAGATGGAGGGAGCACCCAGTGAGCTAGGAAGAAAGCTAAGAGTGTGGTTGCCTGGAAGCAGATACAGTGGAGGACAGTGGTAAAGCAATCCTGCAGATGCTGCTGACCAACCAGTAAGAAAGGAGAGGGAAAAACAGGCCAGTTCGGCGCATTAAAGCACCTACTTAGGCAGCTGCAGCTCCAAGGTTCAGTCCCCCAGCATGCTGTGCGGGCCCCACCCATGGGGCACACGGAGATAGTCATTGAGACTGGGCGTGGCTGAAAACAGGAGGATCACTACAAGTCTGATCTGTGTAATGAGAGACCCTGTAGACCCTGTACGAGAGAGAGAGAGAGAGAGAGAGAGAGAGAGAGAGAGAGAGAGAGAGAGAGAAAAGGAAAGAAGAGAAAGAGTGGGAACTGGACATTGGGTTTTCCACTACAGAGCTCATTAGTGACATGAACAGTGAAAGCTTTGATGAGAGGAGTGGAACAAAACCAGACCACAGTTGCCTTCCAAGAAAACAAGGGAAGAGCTGGAGGTAGTGGGTGCAGACAGCTCTTACAGCTCTTGTGTGGAAGAGGAGCAAAGAAATAGTAGATTGCTAGGGGATGTGGTATCAAGAGAATGATTTTTTTTAAATTGAAGTGAGGGAAGCAGTAATCATACATATAATATGTAAAAGAGACACATCCGGAGAGGTAGAAATTTGATGAAATATGAAAAACTGGTCAAAGTAGGGGAAACGTTAGAGCAATGTTTTTTTATTTATTTTGGGTTTTTTTGTTGTTGTTAGTTCTGTTTTGTTTTGCTTTTTTGCATTTAGTACAGGAGATACCAGGTCTACAGGGTCTCACTACACAGATTAGACTCAGTGATCCTCCTGTGTTCAGCCTCCCAAGAGCTGGGATTACACGCACGCACCACCATGCCCAGTCTCAGTCACCCTCTCAGTGTGCCCCGGGGTGGGGCTGGCACGGCATATCAGGGATCAAACCCGGCTGCTGTGTCTGCCGATGCAGGCGCTTTAGTCCGCTGAGCTATCAGGCTGACCCTTACAGCAATGTTCTTGGATGAGAAGATGGAATGTAGTCTCCAAGAGAAGGAACTCGCTTTGGGTAGGAGCATGAAAAATCCATCCATAGTTATGGGTAGGCAGGCAGTGTACATTTCTGCTATAATATAAATAGTATGCTCCTGAAATTTGTTTTATTCTCAAATTCATGCTTTTAAAAATACTTGGCCTGGGGGCCGGGGAGATGGCTCAGTCGAATAAGTGCTTCCCTGGCAAGCGCAAGGGCCCCAGTTCAATCCCCGGTTCTGGAACAAAAAATAAAAATAAAATAAATAAAAGTACTTGGCCTGGGCAATCCATCCTAAAGCTTTGCAACTTTGAAAGCTGAGCAACACCATCCTAACTACACATACTACTGCTAAGCTAGTCGAAGGCTTGCACCAAGCACCTGTGCCCTCGGCCATTTGGGAAGCCGAGGCAGGACCTCGTGAGCCCAGGGCATATGGCCACCCTAAGCAGTGTCCTGAGGCCTTGTATCTGAAGAGGGAAAGAGGAAGCATCTGAGCACAGCTAAAAAGACATAGTGTATTCCCAATAAATACATCAATAAAAAGAGAACTTTGCAAGGCATGGTGGGACATACCTGCTCCAGGAGGTTAAAGCAAAAGGATCATAAGTTCAAGCCCCGCCCAGGCAACCTAATGACTTATAGAGACCTTGTCTCAAACTTTTAAAGGGGGCTGAGTATATAATTCAGGGCAAAGACCCTGGCTTCAACCCCCAGTACTAAAAAACTAAACAGTGGAGGTCCCCTTTCCAGGTAGAGGACGAAGGCATAGGAATGGAATTGGACATAAGATGCAAAGTCCACAGCATCTTTGAGCAGAAACTAGCAAAAATGATGTGGGCTCAATGGAAAGTACTTGATTCTGCCTCTCGCTCATT